GAGCGCTTTGACGGTATTTCCCGAAAATATCTGAGATTGTCGGCACTGCATGCTGGTCTAAGCTGGTTTATGCTGGTCCAGGCTGGGCTGGTACTGGTTTAGCTGGTCACCCCAGTATGATCATGCTGGTTGACCAACACACCAGCATCAAAACACAACATATGCTGGTTTTGCTGGTGACCAGCCATGCTGGACTGTGCTGGTTTTTCAGCAGCGAACGTAGACTTACTATGACGGAACAAACTGAGAGTGAAGTTTCTAAACCAACCCAGCATCTCATAAAGGTGGAGCTCACAGTAGGGGGCGCTAGTGAGCTTCTCAACTCTGTCTGATGGACAACAAACCTGTCTTTTGCACATGGATGTAGTGTAAGTTATCATAAAAAACCCAGTTAGGTCTGTAGATGAGTCTCCACACTTTATACATAAACAAAGTAAACATTAACAGAGAAACACAGTTTAGCTAGATGGCAGTAGCGTTTTGTTACTTTGCTTGTGTTACTTTTTGTACCCTGATTTAATAAAAATCACTGACGCATTAAGCTTAAACTTGCATGTGCAGAAGTTTACGACGTTTACAGTGTACGTACGACTAAACGCACAGCTAAAACGTAAACGCAGAGTTAGAAAAGAAAATCCTCTCACAGTGAAAGCAGCGTTTTACAGTAGAAATAAATGGAGCTCATTATGCTGGTAGTGAACTATGCTGCTGACTCAGCTGCCTAAAAACCATAGAAACGGACCTTAAACAGAAGTGAGGACCCTGTTGGGGTTCATCCTAAAGTTAGGACAGGATTTAGGAGGTTTAGTCTAGTTAGGATGTTTGAGTGATGCTGTTTTCTTATCTGGAGTTCATGATGAGATTATGAAGGTAGGAACTGTTATTCTGGAACAGATACTGAACTAAACTCAGTCCATACTGAAGTCGTCATGGAGACCAAACAGGTCAGATTTAGGGTGTTTCTGTAATGCGACTCCAGGAGTAAACAGGTCTGTCTCTGTCTGTCTGTCTCTCTGTCTGTCTCTCTGTCTGTAATGTGCTTCAGGTTGACTCTCACAGTTCCACTCTGTTATTCTCATTATGTTTATAGTATATATTCAGTTTTAATGCCAGCAGCGTCAGAATCAGCTGATCTCAGAAGCTCATATAGGATAACAGTGTGTGTGTGTGTGTGTGTGTGTGTGTGTGTGTGTGTGTGTGTTCAGGATGTCAGTGTGTGTGAGGGCTCGCAGTGTGTCGGGGCGTCCGGAGGGTCCGTACCGGGCGGTGGACAGTGTGGAGGCTCTGGCCCAGCAGGACTTTGAGGGAGTGGACACACTGGACAAACTCTTCAGACACGCAGTGACCAACTTCAAACAGTCTCCCTGTCTGGGGACGAGAGAGATAATCTCCCAGGAGAAAGAGACCCAGGCCGACGGGAAGGTCTTCCAGAAGGTAATCCATCAATAGATCTGTCAATCAATCTATCAGTCAATCAATCAATCAATCAAGCAATCAATCAATCAATCAATCAATCAATCAATCAATCAATCAATCAGTCAACATTCCAGCTAACGCTAAAGCTAACACTGACAGCTAACGCTAAAGCTAACACTGACAGCTAACGCTAGAGCTAACACTGACAGCTAATGCTAAAGCTAACACTGACAGCTAAAGCTAACGCTGTAGCTACACTAACATTACAGCTAACATTAACAGCTTAGCTAACGTTTGACGAACCAGCGCAGCGTTGCCTGGTGGGAGGGGCTCCTCGTGGAGGTCTGTTCTCCTCACTGTATGAAGGGTTGAGGGAACCCTGAGAACAGATCCGGTCCTAGCTAACGTCACTCACTGGTCTATCTAGAGAAACTAGTTGGCCGTGTGCTCATGTGAGGACGATGTTAGTGAATCATCAGTCAGTCAGTTCTTCGTTCTGTTATAGATGATGTATTGATCGATTGATTGATTGTGTGCAGCTGGTGCTGGGGGAGTACGGCTGGAAGTCGTATGAGGAAGTGGAGCGTGAGGTGGAGCTGCTGGGCAGCGGGCTGGCGGCGTTGGGTCAACAGCCAAAGACCAACATCGCCATCTTCTGTGAGACGCGAGCGGAGTGGATGGTCACGGCGCAGGCCTGCTTCAGACGCAACTACCCACGTAATAAACACTCATTCACTACACACACTCACACTTTAATATACTCACACTACAGAGAAAATCACGACTCAAATCCGTGACTTTTTAAACGCCGTGTCACAAAAGTTGGAATCATTTAAAACGTAAAAGCGCGGTTTTAAAACGTGGCGTGTTGCACAGTCTAGAGAAGCGCTTCTCAGTCGCGATGCAGCTGCTCCACAGTCGATGATGAGAGATAGATATCAAATATTTGGGTTTTTATTTTGGTCCTTGTTTGTTTTTATTGGTTATGAATGGTTTTGATCCTGTTTGTGTGCAGTGGTGACGCTCTACGCCACTCTGGGTGAGGAAGCTGTAGCTTTCGGGCTGAATCAGTGTGGAGCGACTCTCCTCATCACCAGCAAAGAGCTGCTGGACTCTAAGCTGAAGGTGAGTGTAAACACACACAGGAAACCTGTGGCAGATGTATTTACATACGTACCCACCCATCCACTGCCCCCCCGTGTGTCTCAGGCTGTGCTGGCTGAGGTTCCGGGACTGAAGCATGTGATCTACACAGGCAGTGGGAGCATCACTGCAGGAGATTACCCACAATCCCTCACAATCCACAAAATGCAGGACGTCATAGACCTGGGAGCCAAACCTGAGAACTGTGAGTGTTTCCCAATCACAGATCAATAATCACCATCACAGTCTAATAATCAACATCACAGATCAATAAATAACATTACTCATCAGTAACCTGCATCACAGATCAATAATCACCATCATGAATCAATAATAACTGTCATGTCTTAATAATCACCAGTAAAACACTTGCATGTTTATACTTGGTAAAATTCTTTTTAGTTCGCTTTAGTTCAGTTCAGTTTTATTCAGATTCAGAGGGCTGGACACTCAGCGTCCCTTTAACTCGGACAGGGACGCACTGTCCTGTTCTACTGTAACCTCTCTCTCTCTCTCTCTCTCTCTCAGTGTCTGTGGAGTTTGCTCCTCCCTCTCCGTCTGACCTGGCCGTGGTGATGTACACGAGTGGATCCACCGGTCAGCCCAAAGGCGTCATGATGCTCCACAGTAACCTCATCGCTGGAATGACTGGCCAATGTCAACGCATCCCAGGGCTAGGGTCAGCTTCAGCAGCCAATCAGCACACAGCACACCACTATAGGAACCAATCAGAACACAGCAAAAATCTACATAACTGTAATTGTATGTATGACTGTATGTTTGTATGTTTGTGTGTGTGTGTGTGTGTGTGTGTGTGTGTGTGTGCTCGTATTGGTGCAGGCGTGAGGACGTGTATATCGGTTATCTCCCTCTGGCTCACGTTCTGGAACTGACAGCGGAAATTTCCTGTTTAACGTACGGCTGCAGGATCGGATACTCATCTCCACACACACTGTCAGACCAGGTAACACACACACACACACACACACACGCACACACACTGTCAGACCAGGTAACACACACACACACACACACACACACACTGTCAGACCAGGTAACACACACACACACACACACACACACACACACTGTCAGACCAGGTAACACACACACACACACACACTGTCAGACCAGGTAACACACACACACACACACACACACTGTCAGACCAGGTAACACACACACACACACGCACACACACGGTCAGACCAGGTAACACACACACACACACACACACACACTGTCAGACCAGGTAACACACACACACACACACGGTCAGACCAGGTAACACACACACACACACACACACACTGTCAGACCAGGTAACACACACACACACACACACACACACACACGGTCAGACCAGGTAACACACACACACACACACACACACACACACACACACACACACACACGGTCAGACCAGGTAACACACACACACACACACACACACACACACTGGTCAGACCAGGTAACACACACACACACACACACACACACACACTCTCTCTCTCTCTCAGACCAGGTGATACACACTGGTCTTCACTGTTAATATGTTATTCTGAGAGTTTTTCAGTCTGACCGTCTGGTGTGTGTTTGTGTGTGTGTGTGTGTGTTTGTTTGTGTGTGTGTGTGTGTGTGTGTGTGTGTGTGTGTGTGTGTAGTCCAGTAAGATTAAGAAGGGCAGTAAGGGGGACTGCTCCGTGCTGAAGCCCACTCTGATCGCCGCTGTTCCGGTAAGAAACCGTCCGTAACACAGCTCACTACCACACACTGACGGCCTGAGCGTGATTTTTATCGCACGTCCGTGTTTTATTTAAACGCTCTGGGACGAAGTTCTCATTTTAACAGCAACACAGCTTTTCACTCTGTGATCGTCCAGAGATTTACTTTAATCTCCACATCACACATGCTGCACGTTTGTATGTAGCCACGACAACAGAGCTCTGATTGGTCAGCCTGATTTTGATGTATCCGCCGCTGTCCGTCAGTTTTGGCCTCGATGTGAAAGATTTACGAAGATAAACCAGAATGTAGTGATAATAAAGCTGACTGAACTGTGTAGCTGGGCGCTGTTTAGACTGCTAAAACTGGGGCTAATAGCATTAACGCTAACTGGAAACCAGCCAACGTTATTCCGTTATATCTGACGTATCTTAGCGCCGGTGGCCGAACTCGTACAGCGAAGCGGCGCTGGGGAGCGGCGAGTTTCTGCTCATGTTTGTCCTCATATTAACAGCTTAACCACACATTCAAATAAGGCGTCACTCAGGGACCGTTTTGTGACTTGGTTCCTGTTTTTAACAACATTCAGTGAAAAAGAGTTTTCAGGTTTTTCCCCAAACCAGGTTTCCTTTCCCTGCTAACTCATATTAGCGCCCTGTTACAGTGAAGCCTCACAGCGTCTCTCCCAGTGAGTCTCACAGCGTCTCTCCCAGCGTCTCTCCCAGTGAGTCTCACAGCGTCTCTCCCAGTGAAGCCTCACAGCGTCTCTCCCAGCGTCTCTCCCAGTGAGTCTCACAGCGTCTCTCCCAGCGTCTCTCCCAGTGAGTCTCACAGCGTCTCTCACAGCGAGTCTCACAGCGTCTCTCCCAGCGAGTCTCCCAGCGTCTCTCACAGCGAGTCTCACAGCGTCTCTCCCAGCGTCTCTCCCTGCGTCTCTCCCAGTGAGTCTCACAGCGTCTCTCCCAGTGAGTCTCACAGCGTCTCTCCCAGCGTCTCTCCCAGTGAGTCTCACAGCGTCTCTCCCAGTGAGTCTCACAGCGTCTCTCCCAGCGTCTCTCCCAGTGAGTCTCACAGCGTCTCTCACAGCGAGTCTCACAGCGTCTCTCCCAGCGTCTCTCCCAGCGTCTCCCAGCGTCTCTCCCTGCGTCTCTCCCAGCGTCTCTCCCTGCGTCTCTCCCAGCGAGTCTCACAGCGTCTCTCCCAGTGAGTCTCACAGCGTCTCTCCCAGCTTCTCTCCCAGCGTCTCTCCCAGCGTCTCTCCCAGCTTCTCTCCCAGCGAGTCTCACAACGTCTCTCCCAGCTTCTCTCCCAGCGTCTCTCCCAGCGTCTCTCCCTGCGTCTCTCCCAGTGAGTCTCACAGCGTCTCTCCCAGTGAGTCTCACAACGTCTCTCCCAGCTTCTCTCCCAGCGTCTCTCCCAGCGTCTCTCACAGCGTCTCTCCCAGCGTCTCTCCCAGCGTCTCTCCCAGTGAGTCTCACAGCGTCTCTCCCAGCGTCTGTCCCAGTGAGTCTCACAGCGTCTCTCCCAGCGTCTCTCCCAGTGAGTCTCACAGCGTCTCTCACAGCGAGTCTCACAGCGTCTCTCCCAGCGTCTCTCCCAGCGCCTCTCCCAGCGTCTCTCCCTGCGTCTCTCCCAGCGTCTCTCCCAGTGAGTCTCACAACGTCTCTCCCTGCGTCTCTCCCAGCGTCTCTCCCAGCGAGTCTCACAGTGTCTCTCCACCGTTTCTTCTTTAGCTTTAGCTCCACACGGTTTGGGTGCAGTTAGCAGTTAGCAGTTAGCGTAATATTGGTTCGTTCCATGTTTGCTACGTTAGCCTGCTGAGAAAAACAGCACAGACCAGCATCCATTCCATGCTGGTCTAAACTGGTTTATGTCTGTCTGTACTATTAATGCTTTTTAACTGGTTTCTGCTGCTGAGATGCTGGTTTGTGCCAGCCTGGTGCTGGTTTATGCTGGTCTAAACTGGTTTATGCTGGTCTAAACTGGTGTATGCTGGTCTAAACTGGTGTATGCTGGCCTAAACTGGTTTATGCCGGTCTAAACTGGTGTATGCTGGCCTAAACTGGTTTCTGCTAGTCTGGTTCTGGGTTCTGCTGGTCTGGAGCCGGTTTTAGGTGGTCACCGAGGTCATGCTGGTTGACCACTATACCCATGGGGTCAGTCATGTGCTGGAGGTTAGGGAACCAGCCCTCCTCGGGCGCTGTGGATAGGGCTGCCCACCCTGTGCGTGTTCACTAGTGTGTGTGTGTTTCACTGCACGGATGGGTCAAAATGCAGAGGTGAAATTTCCCCGTTGTGGGACTAATAAGGGTCACTTAACTTAATACCAGCAACCAAAACAACATATTGTCGCTGTCCAAGAAAACATCTCCATTATTTATTTTTCATCATTTGAACATGGCGGCTGTGCTTTACACTAAACATATCATGATAAATGATCCAAAATCACTTGGAAAGAAGTCTTTATAATAACATACATTCAAAATGCCTGCCCAGTGACAGCTGGGATAGGCTCCAGCACCCCATCGCCACCCAGAAGGATAAGCGGTTTAGATGATGTATGTATGTAAACATTCAAAATGAAGCAGAAACCACTTCCATTGCTGCTGACCAGCATCCAAAACACGACGCATGCTGGTTTTGCTGGTTCTTCTAGAACAGTAGCCTCGTAGCTCCAGCGCTAACACTAAAGGAGCTCATGTCTTGGTGTAACGGGGGGAATTCTGGGAGATTTTGGTTTGAACCCGTGCTGTAAACGGTGCGGTAAACGCTGATCATGTGTCACTGTGTGTGTTCAGGAGATTATGGACCGGATCTATAAGAACGTGATGAGTAAGGTCAGCGAGTCCAGTCTGGTCCAGAGGACTCTGTTCAAGATGGCCTACAGATACAAGCTGCAGCAGCTGGAGAGCGGAGCGGACACGCCCATCTGCAACACGTGAGTCACACGCCTGTTCACCAACGAGTCGTTCACTCAAATGATTCGTTTCTCCTGAATCGTTTCAGTGTTAAAGAGCAGCATCAGTGATGATCGACTACAGGGACGTCAGTAACTCACAACCATCAGACACGTCAGCGACTCACACTCTCGCACTGCGGAGCGTAAACGTTAGCGCGTTCTTCCAGTAAAGAACCTTTAAACGTTCCGTTTCTGCACCGAGGAGGCGACTTAACACTGTTTAATACAGACGCTGTTATTCACACATTCACTACTCTTCCTCATACAGTCTAACCACATCTCTCTCTCTCTCTCTCTCTCTCTCTCTCTCTCCCTCTGTCAGCTCAGTCATGCTGGAGCAGGAAAGGTTCTTCCCCAAACTGTTCCACAAAGTTAGAAGTCTATAATTGTCCAGAATGTCTTGGTGCTGAATCATTAAGGTTTCCCTTCACTGGAACTGAGGGTTCTAGACCACCCCTGAAAAACAGCCCCATATCATCGTCCCTCCTCCACCAAACTGTACAGCTGCACAGTGCAGTCAGGCAGGTAACGTTCTCCTGGCATTCGCCAAACCCAGACCCGTCCATCAGACTGACAGATAGAGAAGCTGATTGGTCACTCCAGAGAACACGTTTCACTGCTCCAGAGTCCAGTGGCGGCGCTTTACTCCACTCCAGCTGACGCTCGGCATTGTGCAGTTTGATCTAGGCCTGTGTGCAGCTGCTCAGACATGGAAACCCATTCAGTGAAGCTCCTAATGTGCAGTTATTTTGCTGATGTTGCTTCCAGAGGCAGTTTGGGGCTCTTTAGTGATTCAACAGAGGACAGGCACTGTGCTCTTCAGCACTCGGTGGTCCCGCTCTGTGAGTTTGGGTGGTCTACCGCTTCGTGGCTGAGCAGTTGTTGCTCCATCTAGCAGGATAGACATTTCACAGACCGACTCGTGGCAGAGGCATCCTATGACAGAGCCATGTTTAAAGTCACTGAGCTCATCACTGAGACCCTCTACTGCCAGTGTTTGTGTATCGACACTGCAAGGCTGTGTGCTCGATTTGATCCACCTGTTAGTGGTGGGTGTGGCTGAAACACCTGAACTCAATAACTGGGAGGGTTTTCAGTTTTCTATAATCTTAAAGCTCCTCTTCTTCAGTACAAAACTCCTCAGTCCAAACACTGCCTTGACTTTTATGTGTCGACTGTTTCTTCTGTGCCTTGAAAGCCTGGCTGGATTAGCACAAACACTGCTCAGCCCTCGAGATCATTTATTTAGTCTGTTTACAGAAACAAATGATGAGTAAACAGTGGTGCTAAATCATCCCTGAGATCAAACTGAACAGCTGCTTTTAAAGAAGTCAGTGAGAGCAGGGTGCAAAATAAAGGGGGTCCTGGGGGTCCTGGATTCCCTAATTAATCCTTTGGACCACCTGAATGTCTCAAAATCTGAATTCTGGGGGTCCCTGAAAATAAGCTTATTATGACGCTTTGCTGTCCATTAGAGGAAAAACAGACTCTGTAATTCAGATTCAGTGAAGCTGATTGTTTATCTGCTTCTCCCACAGTCAGCGTCTGTCTCTGGGGCTTAACTGACTAGAGCTGCAGCTCTGCTCTGCCTCCGGGTGGCGCTGTAGCAGGCAAACTCACACAGTAACAGCACAAGTGTACATACAGTGTTGTCAGGCAGTGTGTGAAAGACCCCCTGGCATTCGGAGGTCCCGTGTTGTCTGTCTGCTAATCTCTCTCTCTCCATTTCTCATCCTCTTCTGTCTCTCTCTCTCACTCTCTCACTCTGTCTCTCTCTCTCCCTCTCTCACTCTGTCTCTCTCTCTCTCCCTCTCTCACTCTGTCTCTCTCTCTCTCACTCTCTGTTCCATTTTATCAGCTCCACTTACTGTATAGGTGCACTTTGTAGTTCTACAGTTACAGACTGTAGTCCATCTGTTTCTCTGCATACTTTGTTAGCCCCCTTTCACCCTGTTCTTCAGTGGTCAGGACCCCCATGGACCCTCACAGAGCAGGTACTATTTGGGTGGTGGATCATTCTCAGCACTGCAGTAACACTGATATGGTGGTGATGGGTTAATGTGTGTTGTGCTGGTCTGAGTGGATCAGACACAGCAGTGCTGCTGGAGTTTTTAAACACTGTGTCCACTCACTGTCCACTCTATTAGACACTCCTACCTTGTCGGTCCACCTTGTAGATGTAAAGTCAGAGACGATAGCTCATCTGCTGCTGCACAGTTTGTGTTGGTCATCCTCTAGTCCTTCATCAGTGTTCACAGGACGCTGTCGGCTGGATATTTTTGGTTGGTGGACTATTCTCAGTCCAGCAGTGACACTGAGGTGTTTCAAAACTCCAGCAGCACTGCTTTGTCTGATCCACTCAGACCAGCACAACACACACTAACACACCACCACCACATCAGTGTTATGATAATGATGGGTGGAGATGTGTTCATTATCAGTGTTCATCTTTAATGTATCTCAGTTATGTTTTGTTGATAGTTGTGAATCTCCTGTTTAATGAGTTCTACAATGGTAAAGCATCCTTGATCATGGGAAAGAGCTACACATGATTTATTTCACTTTGATATCTAAACAATAAAATCACTTGTGAAGGACTTTCAGTCGGTCACTCTTCACTGATTGGTCAGCTCACTCTTACAGCAAATGTGAAAAGTGCTGCTCATCTCCTCTCAGAGCTGCTTCAGGATCAGATTCCTCCCTGTTTTATATCTCAGTCTCAGAATCAGATCCTAGCACAGCAGTGCTGCTCTGACAGGCCTTGTGAAGATCAGAGCAGCACTGCACAAACACACTCATTAGTGATGAATGGAGCTGAGCTTTAGCTTTAGCAGATGGGAATATGGAGCTGATTCACAGTGGACTGGACACAATGAGATTCTGACCAACATTTAAAGTAGAAACACTACATGAGCAGCATTTGGAAAGAGTGATGTTTAGTTCAGAGCTGATGATGTCATTTCCTGTGTGTCTTGAATTAGACTCATTCAAACTATAATGAAGAAGAGGTTCATTGTAGTTCAGCACTGACAGTGGATCGTATATTCAGTTGGTGAAACAGGTAAACATTTAATGTTCAAGTAGAAATTAGAAAGACGTGGTTCAGTGTGTTGTTTCTAATGTTTAGCTGGTAAATATGCAGCTTAACTTTACACTGAGTTATTTCACCCTCTCTCTCTCTCTCTCTCTCTCTCTCTCTCTCTCTCTCTCTCTCTCACTCACTGCTGGTTGTTTCGTGGTTGTGTCTGTTTGGCCTCTGTGGTGATGTCAAGTTATTATCATCTACTGCTGGTTTGTGCTGCCATCTAGAGGAATGTAGCTGTAATTACATGCACACTGTCCTATTAGGCCCATCACTGACTGACTGATATCTGGAGCTCTGTATCAGCTCACTTGACACTTCATCCATCTTTCTCTTCTGCTCGCTCATAATTCAGTTATTCATTAACAACACTGATCCCATCTCATTAATAAATGCATTAAATACTTAACTAGGAAACTTTCACAGGGTTGGGTAAGATGAACATGGAGAAGTGAAGAAAGTAATATAAATATGTAAGATTGACTGAAATTAGTTACCAAGAAAATAATAAGATTTGCACCACTGTAATCATGAGAAAAGATAAACAAGAACCGACGTGTCTAAAGCAAATAAGACTGTCTTAGTATCCACATCAGTACTTTGGCTTAAAAAGAGAGCTTTACTTGTGCTTTATGGGACAACTTTTGCTAGTTAGAATATTAGGTTAAAAACAATGTAGTTTTTGTTATAATGAAGACTGTTCTGCCCCTACAGCTGACCAGCAAAAAAGTTGGTCTGTGTGCTCGTTCATTTAGAGCAGTCTAGAACCACACCTGCTTTACTAGTAACAACAAAGTTACAATAAAAGTAAAGGAAATCACTCAAACATTGTCATGGGCTTAATATTGCAGGAATAGTGAGAAATCATTAACACAAAGATAAAAACTAGACTCTATTAAAGCAGAGAGAATAACATCAATGAACTAAACTAGTCCTGATTGGCTGGATTTTAGCAAGAAGTGTAACCAAAACAAAGGAAAACAGTCCTGACTACATTAGACTGAGCCAACTACAAACCCAAAATACAAACACTGACGAACGGAACAGACTTACAGAAAGTGTAACACAATGCTAACAAACAATAACTAAACAACACAATTATTAACATGGAACTAGCATTTAGTAGTAAATGGCTAAACAGCCTTACAGTAATATCCTAAGAGCTCCAGAGCTGTTTTTAATGTTTAATTGCAGGAAGTGATGATATAATAGCTGTGACTGATCTAAAATGATGAGCAGAGAGATCAGAGATAGAGTTGAAAATCACCTGAGTGAATTATTAGATATGAAGGTCCCACTTTATATTGTGCCTCTAATAACTGTGTAATTACACATCAATAACATATGTAACAACACTGTAACTACCAATGATTTAAGCAATATTACAGCTGGATTACAGAAGTACAGCCTGTGTAATTACACATGTGTATTAACTTCAGTTTTGCTTCATATAATCATTATATTCTTTTTGATACGCTACAGATCAGAAGTCTTTTTTACATATTACATTTGTTTTACATAATTACAGTGGAATAACTGTCTTGTAACAAGGTAACCTAATCACATCACATTAATTACCATTCTATAAAGGTATAATAGAAGTTGATACGCATGCGTAATTACATAAGGTGTACTTCTGTGATACATCTTCAAAAGTGACTAAATCATTAGTAATTATATTATTGTTGCATAAGTCGTTCACATGTAACTACACAGTTATTAGAGACACAGATTTTTCTGTGGTCAGATTATTTCTTTGGTCACCAAATGTTAAAAGCTCTGTATGTTTGTATGTATTTTGATGTAACCCGCATAGTGAATATGTTAATCATTGAGCTCTTGAAGAATGGAAAAATAATGATAATGCTGCTCAAACAGAAGCACATGAAAGCTTGATTAGTTCTTCAAATGGAACCTAAATGATATCTAGTGCTGGAACAATGATATCATGTCAAAATCAACAATCAGCTTCATTTTTACCATTCACTAAACTCCTCCCTCTCAATCCTGATTGTCCAAGCATTGTTAGCAACTGCATCTAGGCCCATGAGCCTCTGACAAGCTTCCACAACTCTACATCATGCTGCAGCAATGTTTAAGGGCTAGTTTATAAACCAGATACACCAAATCACAGCCCCAATCACTGTTTACTAGCTTGTTTAATACTGGATGTGC